ACCGGAATGTTCTCCATGCAGCCCGAGCTTGTTTTTGGTTCTCCTCGATGTAGAGTCAGACTCCAAACATACTGCAAACAACGTAAATACCACCAAACATTTCGCATTCCGCTTCTGCACTGACAGTCTGTACGGTTTTCTTTTGAACTTATGCTGTTTGGTAACGGGAATTACAATATCTATTCCAAATCAAAATTGACGGTGGCAATGATCAACATTCAAGTCCTGCTAATCGAGGCAGGAAAAATTGTGTCAGTGATGCTATTGAATCTAAGAAGATGTTAACAATCTGCGCATCGCGTTCAATACGGGCTGAGCTATGCTTTTAAGTAGTGTTTGCTATCTCCGAGCTATTGGACAACAGGATGGAACGTGCCACGTGCACGCGCGTTCGTCCTTGCACAAGTTTCAAACCAAGGCCAATTTCCTCTTAAGCTGCGTTCGTGTCTTCCAACTTCGATTTTGTTGGCCCAAAAAACTGACAATGTTGACCGCCGACCATGAAGCACCAAGCTCTGACTTATATTAAAATGGGCTCACTGATCAATCAGTTCTGACGTCAGCGACTCGCATGCTCTTGCGACGCATAGATCAGACACACTGCCACCATGGCAAGAGCTTTACGAAGATGGACGACTATGCCAAACGCAGCGGCCTTCTTCTTGCAAGCTTCCGTCTGCCAATACCCCTTGTCGTTCTCCGGTTAAGCGCCCAGGTAATTTTGTACCATGCTTGATCGAGCTAGAGTTGTAGAACCTACGGAACCACGCAGACGCCTTTGCGGTAGTCTCTGCGTCGACTTCGAGTCATTTGGAAGCGCTTGCTGTGCTGTTCTCTAAGGCTTCTCCTTTGGACTTGCTTTCACATACGGTGTGCCTTGATTCCGCTCCGACTTGAAATTTTTGACACTGGCAATGATGAATATAATCTGAATGCTATGCCAATCTTGGCAGTTCAAACTCCTCGATCACATTTACTAGCCAACATTCCAACCTTAATCGGTGCCGTCACGAAACCGGCCGCGCTCGAAAAGCGGACCAGTCAAGAAAGTAAAGAAGTATGGGATGAGGCATCACTGAAAGATATCCCGACCGTAGCGCTTTGGCTGGCACGCGCGTAGAGCTCAATCCCCGCTCGCGGCTGCTGCGCATTCTGAACTACGCGCAGATCGAGGCCGCGTAGCTCAAAAGGGCCCGCTGTGGCCGCCGTGGGCAGGAGTTTCGGCCGCTAAGGTAGTGGGGTTGACGAGCTCGAGCGCGACCGGTCGACCAGATGCCCCACATCGGCAGCACAGTTACAGCCGTGCCTCGCACGGCCGGGCGCTCACTGGGCTTGTCCGAAACCGTCCAGATATTGCGCGCGCTCGCGCCGGAAAACAGCACAGTGGTTCAAAGACGTACGCGCACAGAGCACCTGTCGTCGCCACTGCCATTCCGAGTCGAGCGGCGCCCGCCGCGCCGCGCGGGTGCGCGCGTACGGCGAAGAGCCGCAGGCGGCTGCTGCCGACAGCTCGAAACTTGTTTCGACGCAGTTTTTGTGTGTGAGTTGAAGAGCAGGATGATCGTCGCGATCAGAATACGTATCGTATTCTCACACTTCGCCGCTTCTACTGCCAGCTTCTCGCCACTGACCAGGCCCGTTGACTTGATCTAGCGCCTTTCTTTAGTGCCTTTGGAACCCGTTTCCCTCCTCCAACGTTCTTGATGTTTGAAAGGCAATGAAGAAGGCTTCTCAGGATTTGTGCCAAATGCAGGCTCCAGCATGCAAACGAGTGTAGAATGAATCTCGAGTGCTAAGACCATATCGGACGTCGTGGTGATGATGAATGTTTCGACATATATGGGCAGATTCGCCCAGATTGAGTGGTGATTCTTCTGATGCCGCTCGCGCTTCAGTGAAAGTGCCGTTCTTACATGAGCACGTACTTTACTTAAGAGTGTCTTCTTCCCGCATACTACGCATGTCGGGCTCAACTTCTGACCTGTGTCCTGGTCCCAGCTTTCTTTTGGCCAATCGCACTTGTCAATGTGGGAATAGCTTGACAAGGCGTCTTGACGAAATTCATTCTACTACCTTAAATTCGCCTCACCTCGCTGTTTCTGAGAGTCTGCTAAGTGAACGAGTATTACTTTTCATGACAGCTGGCAAGCGGGTCGAAGGTCACTTAATGAGATTTACGAAAGGTCTGGCTTTCATTGTCGTTTAAATCCAGGCTTCTCCCGCGGTGCCGTTTCCATTTGAAACCCGAAGGTCGTAGAACCTGCAAGCGCCGATCTGGATGATCATCACATGAGTCGACAAAAGTAGCCAAAAGTAATGATTGTTAATTTCGCACCTGTTTGAAGCGCTTGCTTCAATCTGATCCTCTCAACGCGGGCCATGACTGAAACGGCGTTGGGCGGGCGGGTGGGACTTTTCGTCTCATTGATCCACCCTTGATTGCTGAGTCCGTTTTCGAGCCCCGATAAGGTTTGATAGCTTGATTTCCCGAGTCTGGGGACATCAAAAACCCATACGTCGAAGAACGACTGGTATACGTAATAGCCCATACATGCATATCTGCCGGAATTTGTAAGATTTCTGTACATTCCTGTATATTTTGGGAGAACTACTGACAAGGGACGCAACTCACGTAGCCGTGTAGAGAGCGTGGCCAAATAAGAAGACTCTGTACTATTTACTTCAACCCTATGAGACGGCTATTTGGAATCGGTGTTTCTGTGTGCGGCGATATCCAAGCTCCGGGCAGTGTATCTTCAAAAGAAGGACCTCTGTACCCAGTTGGAAGCGATACCGTTGGCTTGGCGGTGACACGACTCTATATTGATGGTCTTTCTTGCGCTAGATCATGGAAATCCCTCCACGTGCTCAAGCTTCTGCGATTGAAATCAACGGTTTTCTTTCAAACGCAATTGTTTTCTTTCTTCACGAAGAGGTCTAGGCACCTGACAAGCACTGTAGACTGCCCTTTTGTTTCAGTTCCTCTGGCAGTGCACTCAGTAACCATCAGAGCCATTAGCAGGCGACTGGGATCAGGTCACAGATTAGTGATAATTGTGAGTTCCCTTGGCTTACAAAGAAAGCAACTGTGAAGAATCAAAGAGAAAGGTGGCAATGATGACAGTACTCATTCCCCGGGCTTCCGCCAACGCTGGGACTTTATGTCAACGGTCAAAGAGCCGCAACAAGGCAACCGCTAGGAATGCGAAGATCGCTCTTTTCCGCAAAAAGGGAGCGAAAAAACACGTCAACGGCGCTTAGATCTATGTTTCGACTCTAAACTTTTGAGCTGGCCGTACCCGGTTGCACCTTGAGGACTTTTTAGGAGACCCGCTGCAAATGTTTGTTTGCTGCCAGTGATGGACAGATTGTTTTTGACGAGGTTATTTTCAGATCGAAAGTCGCTTGACCCATGGATGAGGCTATTAGTACAACTCCGAATAGACATGATCTCAAGGGAAACTTCTTCTAAAGAACGTGTCCCTCCGTGCATACGCTGAACTTTCTGCACTTCGCTTCTGTACCTATGTCTTACACGTTCCCCCTATAAGTTTGAACACGCTGTCACATACTGTGCCTTCTTACATCTGCTCCGATCAATGGACTTGACAATGGCAGTGATTCCACCAAGATATAGAAGCTGTGCCGATCTCGGCAAGAGCGGGTCGCATGCCTGACAAGCCACCGTCCATTTCAATCCAATTTCCCCTCAAGCAGGCAACGTTCTCAAAGCGGGTTGATCACGAAGCATAGAACGAGGCATGAAAAAGGGTTTCCCGACTGCGGCCCCTTGGCTGGCGCTGCATGCGCCTAGTCCGCGCGCGCACCAGATTTTGCCGCGCAAGGCCGCCGCACAGTATGGTGGCGGCTGCGCAGCTCGAGGGCCGTCTCGCCCACCGCGGCCGCGCCGCTCCGTTCGGCCGCTAAGGCAAGGGCTGCCGCGCGCGCGCTAGAGCAGTGGCCGGGCGAGATATTATGGCTCGCTAATAATGGCGTGCGGCGGTGGTGAGAAGCACGGTTGAGACGCGCGTGCGGAAAGAGCGCCCTCCAGGCCGCACAAGTGCGCGCATACATGTTGACGAGTCGCAGCCGGCCGCGGCCAGCTCAAAAATCTTTACAGGGGAAAATCGAACGGCAGAATCGACGTCCCAAGACGTATTGAATGCTTCTTTTGGAAGGTCTGAGGCTGGGGAAGGAGCTGACACCACGCCGCCTTCGTCCTAAACGTTTGCCAAACTTATACCAGGCACGCTGATAAAACTGCAGCTGGGGCCGCTCTTTTGGTGACTTATACCTAGTCCGGTCCATTTCCATTGGTATGCAGGAGTTTGAAAGGGCAATGACGGGTGAATGTAGATTTGGGCAGCGCGTCTGTCGTGACGTGCTGCCCATCACTTCTTAGAGTGTCACAGGAGCCAGGTCTAAATTACCGTGCGCGCGTCCATCATATCTTTGCGTCAGATTGCGCAGCGGTCGTCCAATCAATTTTCATAACCGGGCGCCTTGGGAGATGAGCCCGTGTCTTCTGAGTGAAGGCGCGAAAAGGAGTGTTCTCATGGCAGCCTGTCTTCAGTCAGATTCCAACACACAAAAGGCAGCTTATGGTGAAATTCGAACTTGAGTGAGGCTACCAGGCTGGTCGGGACATCGTGGTGAGGACGAACGTGTATAGCTGGGCAATCATTGGCGCCCACGCGCGTCCGCCTTTCACCTTCTTATGAGCCGCTAGCGCTTCTGTAAAAGTGCCGACGTTTCGAGTGTACACGTAATTTTTTCATTGCGCTTTTTTCCGACAGGGATTTAAGACCTGATTATTAGCTTTTTGCTGATTTCCTCTCTTTGTTATCAGTGAGTAAAGGCCGTTCGAAACGAGTAGCTTGGGACAAGTCTCGATGAGAGCCGGGTCTATTACGTAAAGTCTCTGTTTCGCTGTTTCTATAGTCCTGCCCAGTCAGGGAGAGATTGAGATCTCACTGCTTCTACGTTCTTTTACATTGTGCTTATGTGGAAACCTCTTGCATTTCTGCCCTGCAAGCCAATCACTGGAAAAGGAGGACACACTCTTCTGTGCGTGCCCGTCTAAGGGGCCCAACAACTCGAAGGAAGGGCGTTGATCGATCAAACGCGTCCGACGAACAGGCGCGGCTGTTGATGACACTCACTTTATGAATCCAAAAACAATCCGAAATTTAAATTTCATCCAATCGGTTGCCCGAAAGCAGGTAGCTCGATCCGAATCTGTGAGCGAAAAGAACTTTCTCGTGCACCGCCAGAAGTCGACGTAATTTTCCCACTCACCTGTAAATACCTGTCGACGCAACCCCCCACTCCTCAGATCGCCCACCAGATCTTCCGCTGCTTCCCTTCCCGCGTCGGCTCCCTTCTGGCCGCGCTCCAAAACCCTTGAACCCTCCAGCCGGCAGCCCGTGCTCGTTTCCGCCAGGAGAAGATTTCCGGCTCTGTTTCCGAAGGCGGATCCCGTTGTCTCGCAAACGGACTGGCGGCGGGGAGGCGAAGCCGGGAGACGAGAAGAAGCTGTCGAGGACGGCTCGCGCGCTTTGGAGCATCTCCTGGAAGGGGGGACGCTATGAACGGTCAGGATCTGACTCTGACAAGCATCGAAGGCTGGAGGGATTCGGCAGAGCCATCAGATATGCACATGACAGGAACTAAAAAACCAGTGAAAGGGCAGAGTTCGGGCGCTCGGCAAGGGACGTCTAAATTTGAGACAGATGCGTGGTTCGAGGGACAGCCTCGATCTGCAACAGTGCAAACGTCTTTAGAGTAGCCGCTTGCGATTCAAGAAGAAAGCCGTTCTTGCTTCCTTATTACATGGTAAGGGTCTGGCGTGATCGGTAGACTGCTGAAGTGTCGCTCAAATTCTATCTTGAGCGGACTGTCACGTCGCGAGCAGAGGAGGACTTAGAGACGCATCTGCCTCTGCTCATCTTCAAAGCTCGGCAAGCTTTGTATCAGGCAGCTCTGTCTTCTTCGCTTTTGCGCCCAGATAACTGTACCGTGCTTGATCGAGCTAGCGCATCATAGAACTTGAGGAGCCACGGAGACAACTTCGCGGTAGTCTCTGCGTCGAATCTAATCATTCGGGAGGGCTGCACTTAAAGTACGTTTTCTCCTTCAGACTTCGATTCCTGTCACATACTGTGCCTTAACCTCTGCTCCGATCTGAAACTTGACAGTGGCAATGATGTAATTAATGTGACTGCTATGCCAATCATGGCAGTATCGGATTCTTGCGTTGACTAGCCACCATCTCTTCCGTGATTGCTTTCGCCACAAGCGGGCCGCGCTCGCGAAGCAAAACAGTCACAAGAGTGAAGAAGCGACGAGGCATCACCAAAAACTCTCCCGACCGTAGCGCTTTGGCTGGCAATGCACGCGCGCAGAGCCCATTTTCTATCTCGCGGCTGCGCAGTACGTGTGGTGTACGCGTGGACCGCGGCCGCGCAGCTCAAAAGGGGCCGCGGTGACAGCCGCGGCCGCTACAGCCGCCCGTTCCTCGGCGATCCGCCGCGTGCGCGTTCTGATCTTCTTGTCGGGCAGAGTTCACGCCGCTTCAGTAGTGCGGTTGACGAACTTTCGCGCGGCCGGTCGGCCAGATGCTCCCCGTCGGCACCGCAGTGCATAAGCGCTGCTAGCAGACATAGCTGTGTCTCCCGCGGCCGGGCCCGCACTGGGTCAGGCCGAATCCGTCCACAATATCTTGCGCGCTCGCACATGAAAAGAGCACAGTGATAGAAATACGGGCGCGCGAAGAGCACCTGTGTCCGCGCGCGGCGCCCGCCGCGCAGGTGCGCGCGCACAACGCGGCCGCAGCCGCCAGCTCAAGACATATTTTGACGGAGTCTCTATGTGGGTTTGAATAATCTTTGAAAGCATTTCACGTATCTTATGCGCCACCTTGGAAGGTCTTGGTTGAGGACCGGGCTAAGACTTTGTCACCTCCCCTGTTATCGTCTCGCCATGTACCACCTGATGAATTGACCTGATCTAGCGCCTCTCTTTGGTGATCTGTTCCCCCGTCTGTTCCCTGAGCCGTCAAAGTGCTTGGAAGACTGTAAGGCAATGACGAAGGATACCGAATTTTGGGCAGTACTTCGACTTACGAGGCTGCCCAAGAATCTTTCGCCATTAGGAGGCCCTTTCAGGATTCATCTAACGTGTTCTAGCGGCGCTCGGAAGGATCTTTTTTCATGGTAATCTGTCTTTTATCCTTTCCGAATTGAACGCTTCAGCATGCAGATACTTTAGCTAGGGAAAAAAATTCGAGCGCTGAGGCCCAAGCGGACGTCTTGTTGAGGATGAAGGTGTACTACCAATATGGCTGGGCGGATTCGTCTAAAGTGCGTTTCCTCTGATGCCGCTCCCGCTCCGCAAAAAGGTGCCCGCGCCGTTCGGTAGAAAATAAGAATACGAACAAGAATGCACTCTATGTATTCATAGAGTGTCTTCTCGGCGGAGTACAATTCGGGCTAACTTTTGACCGTGTCCTGGTTCAATTTTACTTCTGCTCAGTAGCAGCTGCTGATGCACAAAAAGCCTGAAACAAGTCTTGACGAAAGTGGTTCGAATTACCTGATTCTGTCTCATCTCGCTCTTTCTAAGAGTCTGCCCAGAGGACGAGTATCACTTTTCATGACAGCTGGCAAGCGGGTCAAAGGTCAATATAATGAACTTCGAAAAAGGTCTGGATGTCATTCTCGTTTAACACCAGGCTTTTCTAGCGGTTCCGTTCCCGTTTGATGCCCGAAGGTCGTAGAACCTGCAAGCGCCGATTTGGAGGATCATCACATGAGTCGGCGATAGTAGCCAAAAGCAATGATTGCTAACCTAGCACCTGTATAAAACGCTTGCTTTAATCTGGTCCTCTCAACGTGGGCCATGACTAAAACGACGTTGGGCGGGCGGGTGGGACTACTCGTCTCATTGATCCACCCTTGATTGCTCCGTTTTCGAGTCCCGAAATAGTTTCAATAGCTTCATTTCTCGGGTCTGGGGACATCAGAAACCCATACGCCGAAGAACGACTGGTATACGTAATAGCCCCCCTTCAGAACAGGGGCCACTCTGGTCTGGAGCTGCCCTAGGTAGCGCTATGACCCACGTCGATGCCCTCACCGACGCTCCCGCCTGGCGCATGAGCCCCGTAAAGCGCTTTGCTCCTTCTTAATTGCCACGTTTCCCAAGGAATCGCTCCAGTTCAGTCTAGTCCGTCTCCTTCTCGATCGAAGCAAGGGCTCTTATGAGGTCTCTGTCACAACAATGAACAATCAGCGCGGCTCACACTCGTCCTGCTTCTTCTTTCTTGTATGCATCATGCCACTGCCGGAATTTGTAAGATCCAATTCCTGTATATTCTATGGGAGAAGTGTTAACAAGGGAGGCAGCTCACGTAGCCGTGTAGAGTGCGTGGCCAAATAAGGGAACTCTGTATTACTTCAACCCTATGAAACGGTTATTTGGAATACGGTTTGGCATGTGTCTTTTTGCGGCGAGGTCCTTGCTCTGAGCAGTGATATCTTCAAAAGAAGGACCTCTGAAGCCAGTTGGAAGCAGATACCGTTGGCTTGGCAGTGACACGACTTTAGAGACATGGTCTTTCTTGCGGTAGCCCGGGGGAATTTGTGCACGTGCTCCTTCTGGGATTGAATGCACGGTTTTCTTTCAAAGGCACTCCCTTTGTTCTTCTTTACGAAGAAGTCTAGGCACCTGACAAGCACTGTAGACTGCCGGTTTGTTTCGATTCCTCTGGCAGTACACTCAATAGCCATCAGAGCCATACGCAGGCGACTGGGATCAGGTCACAGAGTGATATTGTGAGTGCCCTTGGCTTTCAAAAGAAGGCAACTGTGAAGAATCAAAGAGAAAGGTGGCAATGATGACAGGACTCATTCCCTGGGCTTCCGCTGGCAACGCTGGGACTTGAAATCTTGTCATGGAGCCGCAGCAAGACAATCGCTCGAAAGGTGGTGGTTGCTTTTTCAGCGGAAAGGGCGCAAAATCAACGTCAACGGCACTTAGGGCTATCTTCGATTCCAAAGTTTTTTGCTGGCCATACCAGATTGCGCTTTGAGAACTTTAAAAACGACCCATTGCAAGTCTCTCTTTGTTGCCAGTGATGGACGGATTTCTTGACGAGGACGAGGTTGTCAGACTGAGAGTCGCTCAAAACATGAATGAGGCCATTAGTACAACTGCGAATGGACATCATCATCAAGGGAAACTTCGACTTCTAAAGAACGTGTCCCTCCGTGCATACGCTGAACTTTCTGCACTTCGCCTCTGCACCTACGACTTACACGTTCCCTTTATAAGTTTGAACACGCTGTCGCATACTGTGCCTTCTTACATCTGCTCCGATCAATGGACTTGACAATGGCAGTGATTCCACCAAGATATAGAAGCTGTGCCGATCTCGGCAAGAGCGGGTCGCATGCCTGACAAGCCACCGTCCATTTCAATCCAATACCCCCTCAAGCAGGCAACGCTCTCAAAGCGGATCGGTCACGAAGCATGGAACGAGACATGAAAAAGAGTTCCCGACCCCAGCGCCTTGGTTGGCATTAATGCATGCGCAGCCCGGCCGCGCACGGCCTTATAGTCGCGCGCGGCCGCCGGACAGTCTGGTTGCGGCCGCGCAACTCGAAGGCCGTCTCGCCCGTCGCGGCCGCGCCGCACCATTCGGCCGCTCAGGCAAGGGCTGCCGCGCACGCGCTTAGAGCTGGCCGGACAGCATCCCAGGGCGGCGGTTGTGGCTCGGCAAGATTACGGCGCGCGGCCGGTGGTGAGAAGCACGGTTGAGACGCGCGCGCGCAGAGAGCTCAGGTGCGAGCGTACAATGCGACAAAAGTCGGAATAGAACGCGGCCAACTCGAACTTGTCGACGCGACCTAGTAGAGGCCAATTGAACGGCCAGATTGACTTTCCAGGCGTATCATAAGCTCTATCTGGACGTACGGTCTGAGGTTGAGGAAAGGAACTGACAGCGAGCCGTCTTGTCTTCCGAAACGTTTGCAAGTGCCAAGGCCCTCTCACCAAACTGGCGCTCTAGATCTTCTGGTGACGTGTACCTAACCCCGTTCTCTTCCGTCCTTAACCAGAACTTTGAAAGAGCAATGACGAAGGACTGTAGATTTGGGCAGTGCGTCTGTTGTGACGGCCCATCGATTCCCGTTCTTCACGTGTTACCGGAGCCAGATCAACATATTATCGTGCGCGGGGTCCAATACCTTGCGTCAGATTGTGCTGCCGTCGTCCGCTTACCGTACCTTATACAGGGCGCCTAGCTTCATCTCTGAATTTTAATCTTGAAGGACTTGGACGTAGAAACCAGACGCCCTTACTCTTGACCGCCGACCGTGAGCAAGAAGCTCTGAGCAGATCGGGCTCATTGAATGTTGGCAGCAGCGAGTCGCATCTTCCTGTGAACAATAAACGAACCCCGTACGACCGTGGGAGCTCAAAGAAGACTTTTTCAATGCATCCATGGCCTTCTTTCTGAGTCGCTGTGTGTTAAAAAACTACCCTTTCTCGGTTCTGCCTTGGTCGT